ACTATAAGCAACAGGAAAAGGCCAAAGCAATTAGGTAATCAGCTGTATAGTTGGCGAAGGTTAATGCTTTCCATTAATGTAATATTGAAAAATGGCCAATAATTGAGTTGATTTGGCATAAACTATTGCATTATAATTTATAAGGTGCTTGCGACCTCAATGAACTGCAATCATTTCTATTTGTCGTCCCTAGGCTGTAACGTAATAAGGTATACGAAGCACAAAAAAATAGCCATCATCTAACATGATAAACCAGAAAAGAGGAAAGAATGGGACAGGGCACCATTTCAAATGCACAAACGAGACTTTTTTACTGAAAAAATAGATAAGGGAAACTAGAAAAATTCCACAAAAAAACAAAACAAACCATGCTAGTTGCAAAGTGCTCAAACAAAACAAAACAATTTATTTCCAAGAGGCTCCAAGAAACAGCCGATGAGAAGAAAGGAATATATTTAAAAATTTAGGCCATAGTTGTCGTCAGAAGATGGAGAATGCTTGTACCTTTCTCTCCAGAAGATGGTTGAACAACAACATGCATAGTTGTAACCCCACCAGGGATGTCACACAGTGGGCTCCGGCATTCCCCTACTGTTCTGTTGTTTTCCAGTATTTTTCCTGCACTTATTAACTTGACATCCTTCAATGTCCTTGGACCATTCTCCTTTTCTGGTCAAACAAATATTAACAGGTTTGAATACCTTGAATAATATTTCTTGGAAAGTACTTAAAACTATAGAAAGCATCAAGGTCCACAAGGGTGAAATCTCGTGTTTATACTAGAGAATAAACAGGAACAAAAACAAGGGCCTAAAGATGTTGTTGATGACAAGAAAAAATCTGATGCTATGCTATCAAGTTTGACAGTGTTTCTTAATAACTAGCATCTGAAAATAAAATGCAATCACTTCACATAGCTGTATTCCTACTGGATTTCCAATGAATAAAAACAAACACAGTCACAACCCAAACTAGAGTCTCTGAGGTCCCATCCTATGCCTTTCAAATTTCTAAATTATTTGACTGAAGAAAGAAGAAGAGTATAAAAAAACGAAATTACCAACAAAGACAAAGAAACAACTAATCAAGTAAACTAAATAATTTGTCACTTCAGTTTTGGTTTGAGGCAAACTGTGCTATATACCAGTTTCAGATTTCAGAATTTTGTCACAAATTTTCATGAATATTCATAAGAACGAAAACACATGCAGTTTATGTATCCGATATTTGTAAATGAAGAAATCAAGGATTTCTAGGCAATCATCAATTTGATGATTCAAAGCAGAATGCAACAAAGTATGGTACTACATCCTCTAGTTAAGGTAGTTGCTTCTGAATAGTCAACCACAGATATTGCAAAAAATTTTAAATTGAAGCCCAATATCAATACATGTCTGTTCTAGAACACAATTTTGTGCCAGATTTCAAAAAGAAACAGTCCTGAGAAAAGATCATAATTTGAAATTTGAGGGAAAAAAACATTTGAAGTTTATCTAACCTTTAGGCCATTGAGCAAGAATATTTTCCTTCAACGTTGCAACACTTGTTGCAGCAGGAAAGGTTTTGGGACCAATATCTGATCCATCCGTCAATCGAAACTTGATCTCTAACTGATCTTGCACCCCAGCCATCTTCAAAGATTCAGTATTTCGAAATCAAGGCACCAACCTCTAATTTTGACCTTTTTATCTCAATTGATTTTTCTATCAGAAATCAAGCCCACTAAATTTCTTGAATGGATCCTCACAAAGACAAATATTTCACCAAGATTCTGAATTGGTTACTCTGCCAAATAAAAAAGAAATTAGAATAAGAGGGAAAAAAGAAAAGAAAAGAAAAAGAAAAAGCCTTTTGACCCACATAAATATGTTATGCAGAAGGCATAGCAATCTGGAAGAGGAAACCAATGCAAAAAAAGGAAACAACATTATGGAAAAAGTTTTTGAATTGGGATTTTCAGCAATCAAATATAACCAGATAAATCTATCCAAAATTGGAAGCAAAGCTAACCATAGTATCTTGCAACAAAATCATGCGGGAGGCCACAAAAATAGAAAGAAATCACAAACACACAGACACAGTGATACACATATACATAAGCATACCGAAATTTCTAACAACAAATCTTATACAAATCACGACAACCTTAAAAACTTCAACTAGTTCAACCTCAAACCAATCCATAGAATCAAAAGGAACACTCAAAGAATATGAATAACATGCATGGAACATAACAACATCACAAAAACACCAACAGGATCCTCTCATAAACACGAAAGTCAACCCAATTCATCAACTGGGTCATCAGAAAACCAAAACAAACATTCGAACAGAATTGAAAATCCTTGATGGGTTGCCTTACTTTTCCCTAAAACTGATCTGGGTCAATCTCTTTTTAGCTAAAAAATCCAAGCTTGGATAAAAAAGAGAAGAAGAAGAAGAAGAAAACTGTTTTGAGTGTGTGTCAATAGTTAATAGTAATGGGAAAAGAAGAGATCAAATAAATCCCCTGACAGGAGGCTGTTTCGGAGTTTTCAAAGGCTTCTAAATCTAAGGTCAATGCTTCCATTCTTGCCTTCTCTTAGAAATCTCCTATGACTACAGAAATGGACAGATTTCTCTCTTTTTTATACTTACAAGACTTTTAGCCTTGTTTCCCAGCTTTACAATGTCGCACCATGTCAAAAAAAGACACCATGACATATTCCTATTACTATTAATTATGGTGTGTCACTAACACAAAGATTTCTGTTTGCCAATGCACCATCATAGCCATTCAATCATAATCAAGATAGATAAGAAAATCATGATCAAGATTCACTAATCTCTCTCTATTTCTTTGCAACTTAAAAACTAAATCTTACTCCCCTTCAAATGTAACAGTTGTATTATCACATGTTCTCCTCAAATTTAGCTCTTTCGTGCCAAAATTGCATCCATTTTTTTTTTTTTTTTTCATTCTAGTGGAAAACAGGTTATTCACATTAAAATAAAATAGAAGATTCATACATAAGAATTTTACTGGAGAAATAACCTACCCCTTTTAACCTTTTTGGCCAATCCCTTCATATTTATTTTGATCTCCTCTCTCATTATCATATTCGATTCTACGAAAACACGAACTTATCTTATATTGTAAAAGAAAAGAATATGTCAGTTTAAAAAGTGCGTCTACTGATTGATTTAACATTACGAAGCTTTATTCTTTGAATGTGTACAATTTTGGAAACAAACTCTGCTTCTAGAGCATTGAGAAACAAGACAGGACATTGTCAATTTAAAGCTTCGATGCAGTGCATGGGGCATGGGCTGGCACGTTAGCGGCAGAGTTATGGATTAAAAGACATTTGGAGATGTATCTATTTATTATTCCTCCAACCTCATGTAAGCAGAAAATTGGAGGGGTGCCAAGCAGATACATTTGGTGATGATTAGTCAATGAATATTGGTGTGGTATTATTATTACAATGGTCAAAACTGAAGGCAGCTGAGCAAATGTGAACTCTGACCAAAAGATTTGTGAAGACCCTGTCAAGGAGGCAACGATCTAAACATGGGAACTTCAAATACAAATCTTCTTTTTGATTATGAAAACTGATCAGACCCATTTTATACTGAGTGCATTCATCTTTAGATTTAGTAGATATCTGAGATGTCAACGAACCTTTCGTATTCTTCCATTTAAAATTATGGAAGAATCAACTAATAGCTTAGTGGTGCAAACAAGCGACACCAATCCAATCCTAATCACTTTTTAGTACTAAATTTAATGATTTAGAGATAAGAAAAGCAAAATTCCAAGAGGGGTCTAATCAAATGTGGGGCATTGCAGATAATCGGGATGCGTTAGGCATAAGGAACCCCTGCCTTGAAAGATCAGAACTACCAAATTCGGTGTTGGATGCTTAAAAAAAGATAATCGTGGAAGTAGATGGATTTCTTGTCATCATCAACTTAGGAAATTCCATGAACAACAAGAATCTTTTGTTTGACAAAGATATTGTATACAACAAATTTCTCTCTCTATGTGACGAATCTTTTCCTTCTCGACAAAGGAAATGAGACAGAATCTGCATGAAAAATATGGACTGCCTCATGAGTTAATTATTCTTCTCTCTAACCTGTCATGTTTTGGCATGTTAGATAGTTCTCTAGTTCCATTTTGTGTAAATTGTAAATTAGGTAACAGTATCATGACAGCTGGGATTAGGTTTTGTGCAAGGTAAACATTAACACCATGGTTAACAAAATATGTCACAAACAGTGAGGATGTAAGGAAGAAGACTTGGGAACTGGAATAGTTACCAAAGCACAAACAGAATGTTTGAAAAAGAATTTTCTGCACATTTTAATGTTTCTCATGAATCGTACATAACAAATACTGACATATAACCTAAAAAGTTCCCCAATTCAGTGGGACCTGTAATAAAGCAATCTCCATTACCTACTCCTAAGTTTCACCTTGAAGGTATCAAATTAACAGGGAAAAAAATGGGGAGGAACTAACAAAAATGACAACAAGAGGAGGAAAAAAATGATGGGAAGAAACATTTCTGGACCAATGCTGGAGCCCTCACCAGAGAACTGTCCTAGATTACCTCTTCCCTATGCCAAGCAGTTTGATGCATTGGCATGTGCACTTTCTAACTCGTGTATCTTGCTTTATTCTTATATGTGTGCCAATAAATCAGGCTAGACAGACTCTCTGCAGGAAGACCACTGATAGTATCCATTTTCCAACCAAGAAATAAATGATGGGTTGCTATGTTAAAGATTGAAAGAAAGAATCCCATGCCAGTGCTGGTGATTCAGGCCCTTTAATGCAAAGGTAAGAGGTATGACAGTGAATTCAGACCTGAAACTCTGCCACCTTCTGGATGATTTTCTACTTGCCTTCTCAAGTAGACCTTGAGAAAATTTCAATCATGAAAAAACTTACATGACACCGTGAGTCACTTGTTTCTTTCCATTCCAATTATAGTTCCAGCCACTATGGTTGATCAAACTGAATCCAGGATGTGGCAGTTACTTATAAAATCATTGGAGTAATTCACATACTTGGTCCAAAATGGTCGTAGATGCTCAAAGCCAATGTCCAACCAAGGTTTTGACTGACCATTGTAGTGGATAACTGCAGCCTTCTTTACACTCTCAATATTTGTCTTATTCTGATATCCCAACCCAAGCATATGCCAGAACGGATCGATTGGATGAACATGACCTTTAAATGCAATCAAAGCTGGTGGTAGGGTTCCAAGTTTCCACATTGTCAGGTTTGACTTCAAGTTCTGCAACAAAATAATAATAATAATAACAGAATCAGAGTAAAATAGTGGCAAAGCAAAGCATCTCTTATTTGCCAACAGTTGTTCACAAATCATTATAAGCACATAAGCAACCTCACAAACATTCGGTACATACAAGAATAACCCAATACAAAATATTTCAGTATATACTGTGTCTGAGAGCGATAAAGATTTAGATCCATGTTGAAGTTGAGTATTGGATTAATATTCCATCAGCCAACCAATATGAAATTATAAACTTGAACCTATGGGAAATGTTTAAGAGAGAAACACTGCAAAGTGATGTGCATGCAAATAAATTAAGTGTACAGAACCAACAATATTGCTTCTTGTGCATCCGGAGTCCTTGTAGGCACATAACACAGGCAGGCATCCGCAACCAAGCAAAAATGCTAGTACTTCATGGACAAAAAAAGATGATAATGATGAAAGATGCTTACTAACACAATGCTTCTCATATAGGATTTTTTTTATTTTAATTTTTACAGTAACGCTGGAGCTAGCAACACTTGTTTACTAACACAGTGCTCCTCATATAGAAACTTTTTGAGAATTAAGGTCACATTTTAGCACATTTAATGAATCACTCACCACATAAGATGGCAAATACCACGGCATGAACATGTTAGTGAAAGTGTTAGTATCTAGACCAAGAAGAGGTGGTGGCAGGTCTAAAGAACAGCAAAATAATCAGGATCAGCAAGAAACCAGATAGTGTAGGGCTTACCTCTTTCAGCCAGGAATGGTAGGTTTCTCTTATATTTGTTTTCCTCCATGCACGGAGATCAAATATATTCATTCCATAAGCCCATGCACATTCATCAGGGTCCAAATTCTTTGCAATGAGGGGATGTGAAAAATTGAAGTAGTTCTTGAAATGCTTAGACATTACCCACTCATCTTCACCTTTACAAGTTTCTACAGCTCCATTGACCTTTCCCCGAAGGTCAATTTCAAAAAGTGGAGACAAATCACGCTGAATTACGACATCATCATCTAAAAACACCACCTTGTCGAGGTTTGGAAAGAGCTGTTCAAAATAACCAATCAGCAGGAAGATTTTGGGCCAACAGATGAAGAAAAAATAAATCTAGCCCAATACAAAAATGCAAAACCTCTGGCCAACCTCGAAGTTTGGACTAATGATACGTTAATTCTTAGGGGCCAAAAATTGATTTTGTAGTTAGCAACAAAAGCAATTAAGAATTTTTTGTTACCATTCCACAAGCAATGGATCATCAAACTGCTGTGTGTGTGTGTGTTTTTTTTTTTTTTTTGCCATTCCAAAAAAATTACCCAACTTTCAAAGATACATCATTAGTTATTCATATCCATATTATTCATTTTGTAAGCAGCACACTTTATTGATATTTCAATATGTCAAAATTTTAGAAACTTCAGTAATTCACAGGGTCATTCCCAATACAAATCAATGAATGTTCCCACAAAAATCCCGGATACTTTCAGGTCTTCTAAATTTAGATCCTGACTTTGTTTGGCTGGTAAAAAACTAGAATTTCCAGTGAGATCAGGTGAGTTTCTATCTCTGTGCAGCCGAAATAATCCCTCAAAGACACTGCCTCATGATATCTAGCATCAGAATTTTTTTGCTTGCATTTTTTACCCTAGGAACATCATTCGGTCCCTAGTTCTTTTATAATAGACCATACACATCATGCTTCATAAGCTCCAAGTAAGGCAACAGAAACAATAAACATCATATGAGATTACCTCAGGTATATATATGCGAAGATGGTTGAGTAATGATATATACTTCGGACTTCTAGCCTGCAATTTTGAAGCAAATCTTCGAGGAGTTGTATCACTAAGATTTGCCCCTGCAATATGATTCCCATGGTAATAATTCCTGATACCATTATGATTCTCTACAGCTTCAAGCACTGGAACATTCTCTCTTGTTAACCAGTCAAACTGGTGAACACCTTTCACTTCAACAATAGCAGGAGAGGCTGGGTTTAGTGCAAACCACGAGTGCATACCCGCATACGTTTTCTTGTCAGTGATGATGTGAAATACTATCCTGTCAGGCTTTAGAGATGACTGGACAGTAGAAGTGACAACAACTGAGGCAGCCAAAATGTTATCAGTTGAAAGGACAAAGTGGTGGCAAGAGTTGTCGGAGAGCAAAGGAAGGAACTCTGGAGAAGGCAATTGTTTACGCGCATGAGCATTAGAGGAATATTCATCAGTCAGACGTAAAGAGAGACAATGAATGCTTTTTGGGATGGAGCTTGCAGCAAAGTGTTTATTCATCAGCTCCGCAAATTTAGATTCCCTAATTTCTCTTTCCAATTTTTCCATCTGCAGAAGATTGAAAAAATGACATTAGTTGATAATATTTTTTGTAACACTCCATCAGACTTTTGTTTCTTATTTCTTATTTTCACTGGGGGGGGGGGGGAATATGGGTAACTGCACTCTCTAGAGTTATGAATTTATGCATATATGTGATATAGGATAACAAGAAATGAGACAGGAACGCAAATGAAATTGATGGATCGATCAAGACATAATGAAAGAAAGTAAATACAGATTTCACATCCAACTTCAATAGACACAAAGTATCATGAACATGTTGCAGTTAAAAAAATCTAAACTTAAACAAATAGTATTAGTACCATGACTGCACCATTTGAGCACAATCATAGTTGAGCAGGATAATTCAATTTAATATTGAATAATGAAGTCAGATTAATAGCATGTTTGCCCAAGAAATTACTTAATTTTAAAAAATTATATATTATATAAAAATGGCAGATAAAGAACACAAGGTAAGGAGTTTCCTCTGAAAGACAATGGAAAGGGACCACGACCAGAAAAAGATGCTGCAAACTAATTCTATGGGCATCATTAACAAACAATTAATGGTATCTCCACAGTGAGCAAATTGTACCACACCACAATTCATGGCATTAGCCAATCCACTACCAAACTATGCAAAAAGTGCCCTTGGCTAGCCTCCCTAAGACCAAAAAATAGTAATAATATCACAACAATACTAGAATTCTCACAATAGTACAGCCTAGAATATAAAGAGGTCCTGCAGACACATCCTGTGACAACCGTAACAAGATGCCAAGCAAGCAATAAATCAAAGCTCAATATCAGATGCTCCCCAAAGAGATTCTCGTCTAAAATAAGCAATGAGTATAGTTGATATAGGGCATGAAAGGCATGAAAGGTCTCAAAAATAGGGCACCTCATTTATCAAAATGTCAATGAAAGTAGCCAATTAGATAAGTGATCAGGTAATTTTGAAGCTAGAATTAGTGATCTATAGCCTACAAGATAAGAGATCAGACCTGGGGTAAGGCATAAACATATATCAACTTGAAATCCATCATGCAATAATACAATCTTTCAAGTTTAGAATAGTCTCAATAATTGGGAATTAGAGTCAGCTAATTTGTTCGAGGATAGATTGAATTAGCATTTAATTCTAATCATCCTTTTTCAGTTAAGACATAATACAAGGTATTGATGAATCAACCTGATAATTTATTTTTAGCACACAATAATTTTGAATAGTAATAATTATAATTCTTTTAGATCTACTCTTCAGTTGTCCATAAGATTTTAGCATGCCCTCATTTAAAAGCAATAGTTCATAGATCCATGCAGAGATCCCTTCCAGACAAGATTTCAAGAATCGTCTATTATCCCTCCCCAACTCTTTAGAATCCATTTTCTTTCTTTCCTTCTCTTTTTTTCCCCCCTTTTTTTGGCAGGCAAACAAAAAATAGCAATAATTATTATCAGATGTCTCACCCAAATATCATATATTTCTCCAGTTAAAAATTTCCTAATGTTAAGATTGCTATTAACAGAAAACAAGAACAAGAACCAAAAAGGTTTAATATAATCCTTGTCTAATATTTGTAATAGATTCAGCCCTCATTCAGGGATATAAGCCATGAAACTAAAATTATTTTTCAACCCTGCTCTCCTCCAAGAAGTTAAGAATAAGGAAATGAACCACGTCTAAAAGTGATATGTCTATGTTTGAAAAACTTCACATACCATAGCCTTCAACATGAATGCAAATGTCCTTGCATCATACTGATTGTTCTTCATTTCAGAAACAAGGTGGTTGAAAGAAGCCGGGAGCTTTAAACCATCTGGGATTTCCTCATTTTTTACTTGATTGAGTATCTTGTAAAAGTCTTTAACCAGCCTCTGTTGCATCATCACCACCAGCATAAGTATTCAACTTGTAATAATACCATTAACAAAAGGATCCAAAAGTACGGGAGTAGGTAATATCTTAATCTGAAACAGTAAAGGATGAAGGAAAAAGCTTACTTACCCCTGAATCATCTACTCTACCAAGAAGCCTCGGTCCTAACCGCCTACCCAAACAATCTGTAGTACAAGAGCAAAGTAAGAACAAGAATTAAGTATCTAACACACACAGAAGCAGCATCACAAAAAGGGATCCTCGATCAAGATCCAATAACATAATAGAGTATAGACGTACGACAAGAAGATCCAGATTGCTCTGTAACATTTAAATAATTTGAATTAGAAACATAATAAACAAATTTCACAAAATAAGGGGCAATTTTTTTTAAAAAAATGAAACAGCCAGGAGAACAAAATAAATAATCAAAAATTGCATTTTTTAATTTTTTTTTACCACTGCAAATTGTTATTAAGAAGTCTTTATCTGCTTGAAGTATCAGCAAATCGCTATTAATTTAGGTTTGAATATACCAAGTAATCAAAAACTATTGTATATAATATTGGCATGCAAGGACTAAAATTAAGTTTTCATGCAGATTGTAAGTCAGCAATAAAATTTTGACATCAAAATTGACATATGCAAAAGTCCGTCAAATCTTTATTAAGCTCATCTTTATCATAAATGAAAATCAAAATATAATCTTTCAGATTCAGAAATTAATGAATTTGACGCCTATCCCCAATCAATTTACAAGTGAAAATCCTCATTGGTTAACACAACTGTGCACAAGCGTGTGGAAAATAAATGAAAATGGCAGGATCCATATGCTAGATCAAGAAATTCAAAGCTAAGTTAATCAAATGAAATATAATATGCTATCAAATCAGAACAGGATCCATCACCCTCGACCTCAATCACTAATGTGAAAATCATAATCAAATGAATACAATTCATATATGCATACATCTATTTAAACATTTGAAAATCATAATCAAACGAATACAATTCATATATGCATACATCTATTTAAACATTTATATGAGCAGAAAGAACAGGTATTAGAATTGCAGAAAAAGATGTGAACAAATTAAAAATATCAATCATCAAATGTTCATAACAAACACAAGGCACATTCCCAAAAAAAAAATGCAATTAAAACAAGACACAAATGCATTACATGTGAAAAACAGCCAAACCCCAAATCAAATCAGGATCCAAATACCCGATAACTATCACAACAAAAAACTTACAAACAACAATGAGCAAATCATGAAATCAGAAAGCAATCACAACCCAAATCGAATGAAGATCCATCCACCTCATCAAGCAACAATCACAACCAAAAAATCCACGAAACCAAACATTTAAACACCCAAAAAAAAAAAAAAAAAAGCAGAAAACCTTAAAATTAGGGAAAACAAACTCACCAAATGAGGAGCACTTGTTGACTCCTTCAAGCGTAACCACAGCAGTAAGAATGAATACAAAAGGTAATAAGAAAGCAAGAATAAGTATAGTATGAAAAAGGGTTCGATAAGAGATATGGCGAGCTGCGACTTTGATCTTCATTAAGTCAATAAATCCATTGCTGCTGCTCGAGGAGATCGTGATGCTTCTCATGCTAGGCGAGATGTGAAGCTGCATATTCCTTTCCTATGCAGCCTCGCCACTACAAACCTAGCTGCACCACGAACAAAAGCAACAAATTCTAGCTCCTTCCCTCCCAATAATATCCCACTCACCATCAGATCCACGCCTATCTTTAATAATTTCGTCTGTATTAGATTCAGAGCTGAAATTTCCTTTCTGGGTTTTGCTGATGTTTGTAATGTTATTATTTCTTCCTCTTTCTCCTTCACTTCTTTGTGGTCTTCTCAAAGACCGCATTGGAGACTTAACAACAACAATAATAATAACAACAAAATGGGTTTCTATATCTATACATACAAACCAAAATATATCAAGATTTCAATTCAAGAATCAATATAGAGCTTTAATGGTTTTCTCTCTTTGAATTTTCTTTTTCTCTCTTCTAGCAGGGATCAAGAAAGAAAAAGAGAGAGAAATGAAAAACAAAGAGAGAGAAAATGGGTTTTGTTCTGTATTTATGTTTTCGTCCCTCTTCTCTTTTGTTGGTTTGTTTGCACTACTTCGATTGGGTGGATCGTGAGATCTAATTTACTTTTTTTTTTTTTTTTTTTTTTGAAAAAGAAAGCAATTTTTTTATAAAAAAAAAAATAAAGTAATTAAGGTTATTAAAGAGTCAAAACCGTGTTGCGTTGTGTTGAGTTGGGGTTAGAGAGAGAAAGAGAGAAAAGTGTGGGGATGAGTGTTTGACCTTTGAGAGGCTTTAATGTTTGTAATCTTCGGAGCTAAATTTAGATGGTTTATGGCCAAATCATGGATTTTTGCCTTCCTTCGTTTGGCATTCTTTGATTTTGGAGACTATTTTATTTCAATGGTTGTTAATTTTAGTTAATCTTTTAAATCTCATCAAAAATATATATATATATTCAAATTGGTCATATCAAATTTTATCCCAAAAAAAAAAAAAAAAAGCTGTCACCCTTTTTTTCTTTTATTGTTAAGATATTTTATAATAAATCCCGTCCTTCAATAATTTTAAAATTTTATTTTCTTTATCCACTTAAAGCGAATAAATTTTAACAAATATTTTATCAATATAAATTAAAAAAATTAACAGACTTTTGAATTCAAAAGGTTAAAAAAAAATAATAACAGACTTTTTTAAAAAAAAACTATCTTGAAAATTATAATAATGGCATTCTTTGATATTATAATAATGGCATTGTCATTTAAAAATATATATTTTTTCCCCCCGTAAACATACAATCTCTCTCACAAATATCTTCATCTTCGATTTGTACATGCAATCTATCCTCCCTTTATCTATTCCATGTCGATCTATCTTGAAATTTTTAATTTTGAGCTATGAATTTAAATCTTATAATAATAGAGAAATACTACTAATTGGTTGCTCGGACTGCACTACGAGCTAAACAAAACGTTTAAATTATTTAAAAATAATAATAATTTTTAAATGACAGCAGGCGACAAATGCTTATGCAAGGCACACCAAGGTAATTAAGCATACTGCTCCCGTAGTGCTCTCTTTTTCTCTGCGGATTACACCCAGTTTTGGTTGGGACAAAAGATTTGAAGGTAGGCTTTTTTCCAACTTGGGGAATGTGTCAAAATGGAAAGAGATGGTAATTAAAAAAATTGATGGCTAAGGCACAGAAGTAACAAAGAAATACTTATAGGCTCTAAGACAAATCAAATGTTGGGAGGTTTATGACACTCTTTGGGAGGATACCACAAGGATGGGCTCCAACACAAGTCAAATGTTTTTTTCTTTTTTCATTGTTTTACACAATCTATATAAAAGTTCTGGACCCCCAAGGTTGGTTTTTGTTTTTCTTAAATTTTTAAGACAAATTATTAGTTTTGGCTGCCCCAAAACATTTTAAGAGACACAAAGCTTTTGAAAGAACGTTGGAATAATTACATTATAAGTGTATTCATTTTTAATTTTTTCTTAATCGAGTCTATGGATTTTAATTTTTTTGTTTGAGTATATTAATTTTTTTCAAAATTGTCAATCAAATACTTCTATCAATTTTTTCGTTAATCGATGACGTGTTTAGTACCTTCAATACACCAAATTATAATTTTATCATTTTTCTTAAATCGATTATATGAATTTTAATTTTTTTTCTCGTTTAAGTACATCAATTTTTTTTAAAACTATCAATTAAATACTTTCATCAATTTTTTTTCAATAATTGATGACATGTTCGAATATGAAATTATAGTTTTATCATCTTTTTGTTGAAAGAAATTTTCTTCTCAAATTAATTTACTATTTTATAATTTGACGAGATAATTAAAAAAATTATTTTTTTTATTTTTAAAATTCTAAGCTAAACTCAGTTAACTTGTTGTAAAAAAAAAAAAACTCAGTTAGATTTAAAAATAAAAATTGAAGAAAAACACAAATGAATCTTACGTTTCTTTTTCCTTCAATTTTCATACCTAAAACCTAACTATTTTTTTTTTTTAACAATGAGCCTTACTAAGTTTAGTTCGAGATTTTATAACTAAAAATAATTTTTTTAATAATAACATTTTATCAATTAATGAAAGTACATGATTAGTAGTTTTAAAAAAAATTAGTATACTCAATCTGAAAAAAATTAAAATTCATGTATTACATTAAGAAAAATGACGAAGTTATAATTTAGTAGTTTGAGGATATCGGGCATATTATCGGTTAACAAAAATTTTGATAGAAGTACTCGATTAATAATTTTAAAAAAATTAATGTACTTAAAAAAAATTAAAATTTATATTCTTTATTGAGAAAAAAGTTGAAAGTTAATATACTTATATTACAATTACTTCAAAGAACACGTGAGACATGAGGGGAGAAACCAGGAAGCCTGGGAAGCCCTATGACATGTGGACCACCTTCTTGCTGGCCATTTAATCAGTTGGTTGCAGGAGAGAAGCATCAGGAGGCAAACTACTTGAATTTGGACAAAAAAAACTCACAAAATCTAGAGGGAAAACAAAAAAAAAAAGAGAAAGCAACAGGGATTCCTCTTAAAGATATGTCTATGGGAAAGTTATCAATTTTCAAGTTGACCCACCAAGAGAAAAACAAAGATGGCAGGATAAGTCCTCTTCAATTATCAAAAAAAAAAAAAAAAAATTGTTTGGTTCTATTCAGGATTTCAAATCATCTGCAACTGCAAAGCTAGAGAGATGTTAAAAAAACTTTTTAACCAACCTAGCTAGCCACGTCAAAAAAATTAATTAATGCATGAAAAATTAGAATGGAATTCTTAAAACGTTTGGGACCGAAAGGAAGGCAGCTAAGCCAAGCTGAAAAATATAGCAACTTCCACATGGAATTTTGTTAATTTGTGTATTAATTGTTTTGAGCGTAGCAAATGGCTTTACGCTCTAAAATAATAAAACTAATTCCCATAATCTGTTACTCGCACAACGTTTTGTAATTTGGAAAATATATTTTTCAGTATCAAATTAATGTCTTCTGGTTAAAATAATAATAATAATAATAATAATAATAAAATACTGTTAGAATTGGGATTGATTTTTAAGGATTCCATTCTATATCATTCTAGTTAACATCTGTTTATGTTGTCTTTTCCATCACTGGCAGGGTGTATATAAACATCACATTTTAGACGATTAACCATAAAAAAAAATGTCTTTATCTTTCTTAAAATCAAATTTATCACGCATTAATTATAATACGAAAATAAAAAGAACCAACAGAACGAAATTTAATCAAGAATGTAAAAAGAACATATTTTAAAAATTCAACCACATAATATTTTTTACAAAATAATTAATGGTAAATATATTTTTTTAAGAATTGAAATTTTTAGCCATAATTTTTTCATACGGTATGCAATTTTTTTACATTTTCTTTTGGATGTTTATTCTTTTATTATTTCTAGCATTGTATGAGATTTTATTATTCTTAAGTGGTATGCATCAGTATCGATTGTTTATCGTTAATTTTCCTAATGCCTGACACACATAATGGGTCAATGCCTCAATTTGTTTTTATATAATATGATAATTCTTCAATATATATTCGTATATCTAATTTAGTTAATTTTATCTTTAAATATAAGTTAAATTTCTAATATATCATTCTAATAGAATTTTTAAGCTAAACTATTGAAAGTAGTCATATGATTTGTATATGAAAAACTTTTATTTGTCTAGCATGTAAGAAAATTTGAAAAAGTAAAAAAAATCACGTGACTAATTATGTTAATTTAACTTGAAAATCTTATCGAAATAATATATTAAAAACTTAATATATATTCAAATATAAAATTAGCTTAATGAACAATATAAAGATATATTAAAAAAAATACCTTATTATATAAAGATAGATTAAGCCATTAATCTAACGATAAAGATAGGAAAACAAAGATTTTAAGTTTTAACTTAACCAATATTAAAAGAATAAAATCCTTGAAAAATCAATATTCCGTTTACCAATCGTACTATTAATCACCCAGAATAGTAATGGCCTCGTGATTTACAAATGCCATGTGCTATTAAGATTTAAAAAATCTAAAATCTTTATTTTATAGCATACAACTTTTGGCTTCTAAATAGTTTTCAAAATAACTTTTAAAATTTTACCAAATATTTTTTCAATGGCTTAAAAAAATAAAAAAATAATAATAATAAAAAACCTCTAAAAGCCAATAAAAAAAAAAAAAAAAAAAAAAGGCCAAGAACCAATAATTTGTCTCGATACATAAGCAAACGATCGAGATATCCTTTACCGTCCTGGGAAAAAAAATTAAGGGAGGAGAAAGTGAAGTTTTGCCGGCTGGTGTTGAGAAAACCAAGTCATTATTGGCTGGCAATTTGGTAAGGATACTGAAATTGGCTGCTTTGGCATATACACTATTGGCACCGACAACAGAGAAAAAAAAAAAAAAAAAAAATGAAAACTTTGTAGCCCATTGCGTATGTGGATTCATCCCAAGAGTTCATCATAGCTTCAACGGATTCGAAAAAATGAAGAGACGATAGAGACTCAAACGCCAAAGTACTGCAATTTTGAATCTGTACAAGGTCAAAGTTTTAGCCAAGCAAGTTACGGCAACAAGCACCTTCATTCAACCATTTTTCCCAATTTCAGATTTTCTCAATTACCATCATCCAATGTGACACCTTCCCTCCCTTTCAACAACCTAACAATTTGCTTTTAAGAAATTCCTCCTTCTGGAAAAAACAAATCAGTCAACATCCACTTTCTTTTCTTTGATTAGATTAGAGAAATTAATTTGAGTAAACATCGTTTTATCATTTCACCATTTAAAAAAAGCAAAAAAAAAAAAAAAAAAAAAGGCATGTGGTAGAGAGATGCATGCATGCCACATTTGTAAATTTATTAGGTGGTGCAATAGAGTTTTGAGATTCTTTTATTTATTTACTTCCAACGTTATTAATGAGATTTAGGTGGAATTTAGGCCAATCCAAACCAAAAACAAAAGTCACTCGCATGTGCTATGAGACCATGAGCTTTATGTATTTATATGGCAAAATACTTCAAAAAAAAAAAAAAGTTGGGTTTGCTTGTCATTGTTTTAACAATTTGGGACAACCCCATATATAACTGATGATAATTAGACCTGTTGTAACTCAGATCATATGCTCTCATCTCTCTCTTTCACACAACCCTGAAGTGATGTGCCCTGGCCTTGGCCTGGCCCCATTAAAGGGAATATCTTAACATGAGAAAAGGCAGAGGGCACATGACATGTACCTGTGAGTTGGAGACAATGGTTTTAAATTTGCAAGTTCATGTGTACATGTACATTTATATATATGCTTTATTCTGAAAGCAAGAGTGTGAAACAAAGCATGATCTGCGTGGATTATTTACCTACGGCCAAAAAATTGATAGTTCTAATTATTATTATTATTATATATTCACCTCCACTTATAATTTCACTGTCTAAATCCATTTGTTTGCGTCTCAGAAACTTAAATTCCCTTGTCAATGCCTTGCCTGAAGAGCACGCTAGAAATGGTCCTATCTAGCACTGACATAACAAACGAGGTCCAGAGTATGTTATTGGTGACTCAAGCTAAGGAAGCAGCAACAAAGAAATAAAAAGAAGACAAAAAAGCAGGAGTCGTCAGATCAGCTAGCTAGTACTTGTCAAAGGCACTGTTTCTGACTCTTTCGTATTAGTTTGTTTTATATGCAATCAATTCATTGATGGAAATGTTAAAAAAACAGAGATGAAATAATCAAACCTAATAAATGCAAAGGGAATACCAAACGATGCATTTCTGCAGAAAGTTCAAAGCAAGCAAAACCATACATTAAACAGCAGTCAGCATCACCATGCTTGGTTTAAATCCAAATTAAATGAGTAAATAAATGCTTTTGCATCAACATCTACTGCAATTCCACGAAGTTAAAGCCAAACCAAGTCAATTTGGAAAATTATTTGATATGTTATGATGATAAAGAAATTTCAAACGATCAATGCAAAATCATGGATGGGGTGGTAGTGAGAGAGCATACAAACAAAATCAATCAACATTGCCATTTTCACATCAATCATCTTGTAAAGGGATCAGAGATGCCATGAACCACATCAATAAATTTATCTCCATAGGTCGAGCCAATAAAATGTAATGTGGTATAATTGATGGGTCATCCTACTTAATTTTCAAGTAACTCTACTAGCCCTACAAGGGCTGAGTCCAACAAAGGCTGTCTAAAACTCTCAAGGCCAGTGATCTCTCTCCAACTTGAGTTTCTTCAAAATTCAAGGCCGCAATCGATTCTGAGCGTGAAAAGAAGTTACACCAATATTTGATTTGACGGACGAATTGCTTCTGCACTTGCAATGAGCTAGATTGATAGAAAGTAATTCCTTATCTGCTAAAATTTAACGTCAATAGGTGCACTGAACAGGAAAACCATTGGTTCGATCAAGTGTCTTTCACATATGGTTTCTAAGCAATCGGCAAAATCAATTATACTACTTCAATTCAGGTGCTGACCGTTACCTTTGGATGCAAATTAATTTATGCCGATGAGCATTAGCAAAGCCAAAGATTTTATCCATTTGATATAGATAGTATGTTCCCAATTCACACAGTTCTGACCTCAATCAGACTGTGGGCAGGTGCTTTTCTTAATCCCATGTCATCCATCCTGTGTCTCACATTTTCTGCATCTTCCCACCTTCCCACGGCAGCATAAAGCTTGGCCAGCAGCACATAATTCCCTGTGTTATCTGGCTCAAGCTCAAAAAGCCATTTTGCAGCAACCTCTCCCAATTCAACATTTTCATGTATCACACAAGCACCAAGCAATGCACCCCAAACAGCATGGCTGGGCATAAACGGCATTGTCTTAATCAGACTGTAAGCTTCATCCAATCGACCTACACGACCAAGCAAATCAACAATGCATGTGTAATGATCATCGTTGGGGTTTGTTTGTTGATCCTTGAGCATGAAATTAAACAAATACAAACCCTCATCCACCAGACCAGCATGGCTACAAGATTGCAATACTGAAGTAAAAGTAACATCATTTGGCTTCACCCCAGATTGAACCATTTGTTTGAAAAGTGAAACAGCAATCTCACCATGTCCATGCATTCCATAACCAGCTATTATTATACTCCATACAAAAATGTCCTTGACTTCTATGGGGATAGCATTAAAAATCTTGTAAGCAGATTCTAAACTTCCACACTTGGAGTATGTATCAATCAGAGATGTGGCAACTTGAACATTTGAAACAAATCCAGACCTCGTTAGATAACTGTTTATATTGTTTACAGGCTGCAGATCAGCAACAATGCCATATGCAGGAAGGAGACTGTTGCATGTTGCCTCATTTATTTCTACTCCTTCCATTAGCATTTGCTTGAAAAGTCCAATTGCCTCAGTTGCTCTATCATTACGAAGGCACCCAGAGAGCATTGCATTCCATGGAACTGTTTTCTTTCTTGAAGTTCTTTTAAAGACTGAGTAACTTCGGCCAAAACAATTGCATTTTGCATACATGTCAATCAATGAAGTCTCAACACCTACTTCTGAATCAATTCTTTGCTTTATCACCCAACCATGCAAGCAACGACCGCTCTTCAAATTATTCAAACTAGCACAAGCCAAAAGAATCAAGGCTATAGTTACTGAATTAGGTCGTAACCCTTCAATCTGCATAATCTTAAAAAGCGATAATGCACTTCTAGGATCACCATTCAAAATGTACCCATTAATCATTGAAGTCCAACTCACTACATCCCTTTCAACCATGTCATCAAAAACCAACCTTGCCTCATCCATACTACCACACTTAGCATACATATCCACCAGTGCATTGCTCACTATCTTCTTACCTAAACCCTTCTCTTCCACTAATCCATGAACCCTTCTCCCCACTTCCAATTCCTTCAAATATCCACAAGCTGGCAAGACGGAAACGACACTAGCACCATCAGTCTCAATCCCAGAATCCACCATTTGGTTAAAAATCATCAAAGCAGTATTTGCAAACCCATTCTTGAAAAACCCATTAACTATAGTATTCCAAGACACCACACTCTTCTCTTTCATTGCATCAAAAACCCTTTTTGCTTCCTCCACCTCCCCACAATTCATATACATTGCCAATAAAGAATTCAGCACAAACAAGTGCGAACCAAACTTTGACACTAACGTTAGCCCATGAACCGCTCTACCATATTCAACCAATACCAGTTCGCTACAAGCCTTAATAACTAACGGATAAGTAAAATTATCCGGGCAGCAATCTTTTGATTGAAGGATTTCAACAAACACCTTCATCGCTTCAAAATAATTCCCATTATTTACATACATTTTAATCATGTAGTTGTATAAGACCGTGCCTCGTTGAGGCAATTCGTCGAACAGTTTGCGTGCATTAAGTACGCACCCGCATTGCCCATAGGCTGCGACAAGGGCGGGGAGGAAGCGGGTAGAGAGGAGGCCAGAGTTAGTGAGGTGGGCATGGAGTTGTTTGGTTCTGGTGAGGGATCGAGTGGCTGCATAGTGTTTTAAGAGAGACTGGTAATGGCTTATTTTAGGGGTGAGAAAGAGCTTCGTTGTTTTGGATATAGTAGTCTTTGTTGGGCCATTCATGAAATTCTGTGGCTATTAGGCTGTTGTGAATTAGGCTAAGGAGAAACTAGCAAAGAACCTGTGCTTTGCCGGTTGGGGTTGATTTTTAATTTTTTAATGGGTTAGCGGCTGCAAGGTCAGTCTACTCTTTTTGTTTTTTATTGCATCCCTCTACTTTTTCGTGTCTTAAATTCATCCTTTTATATTTTGTTTCTATCTTAATCTTGTTTCTTCATTATTTTTTAAATTCATCCTTTTATATTTTGTTTCTATCTTAATCTTGTTTCTTCATTATTTTTTAAATTCATCCTTCTATATTTTGTTTCTATCTTAATCTTGTTTCTTTGTTAATTTTTGAATGACTGGTGTCAACTTCTTTTTTTTTTTTTTTAATCTTAATCTCGTCCATCTATTATATTTTTTATATTATTTTTTATCAAATTTAAATAAATAAATTTTTAAAAAATAAAAAATATGAAGATATATCTTGTCATTCTCTCTAAAAATTAAAAAAAAAGATGGAGTTAAAAATATTTTTTATCCAAAATATTCTTTATGAGTTTAAATTTATCTATATGATAGTAAACAAATTTTAAGTATAAAATAAAATATTTATAGTATTTTTTTAAAAAATATGAAGAGAGTTCTAGTTAATTTTTTAAACTTTTGAATGATATTTATAATTGTATAATATATCAAAAAACAAATCGACTATAATTTACTTATTTTGATTTGAAATTTTCTTATTTTGAATCAAAAGTGAGAATACAAATTTTGTTATAAATTTAAGTCAAATTAAGAAATTTGTTGGTGTTTGGATCTAACACTAACAAAAATTAGTATTCCTCCCTTTGAGCTAGAATAAGAAATTTGTAAAATTAAAATAAATAAATTGTAATAAACTCATTTGAGATGCAAATATCATTCAAAAATTTAAAATTTTAACTAAAACCCTCTTCATATTTTTTTTTAAAAAATACTATAAATATTTTATTTTACACTCAAAATTTATTTATTATCATAGAGACAAATTTAAGCCTCGGAAGGATATTTTGGGTAAAAATAATTTTTGTATTTACCTTTTTTCTAGTTTTTTTTTATTTTAAATTTTTAGAAAGAATGATCAAATATATCATCACCTATTTTATATTTTTTAATTTTTCAAAATTTATTTATTTAGATTCGATTAAAAAATAAGATTATCATAGAGAAATAAAGAGGAATAAAGTACATGAATGAGATTAAGATAGGAAAAAAACTAGTTACATCATTAGTATAAAAATTAACAAAGAAATGAGATTGGGATAAAAATCAAACATGAATTAATGAATTTAAGAAAAAAAAAGTAAAGAGACTATATAAAGATTAATATATATATATATATATATAGACCCATGCAATCATTAACCTATTTTTCAATCATGAGCGGGAGAGTGTCAGGCAAAAAGAGAAATTTTATGGTACTCTTTGTTTGGATAACTACAAATCAGTCTCCATCAAGATGGTCCTAATTTATTCCCATATTTTATTTGGTCTAGCGAGTTCCTCTCCTTTCAATTTTCTTATCATAAAATTGAATTTATTAAACTTATTTTTGTGAATAAAATTCTATTAATGTTGTCGGGAACACACCTTATTTACCTTTTGATGGTTAATTTTAATTTTTTAAAGATGATTTTGATTAATTGGCCAATAATAATTTTAAGGACTCAATTGCATAACAAAAATTTTAAGGAAGTACCTGCATAAATATAAGTTTGGGATGCATGGCATATGATTATGAATCTTTTCTACAGAGTAAAATACTAGACAAAGTCAAAGGTTATAAAGTATACTAACTTCTCGTAAGTTTCAGCTTATAAACAAACAAACAAAGAAAGCACCCTCCAAAATGAAAAAAAGGAGGAAAAATCGCATAAGTGAAAAATAAAGTCAACTTGCCAATTATGGAAAGATTGAAGGCAAGGCGTCTGGCTTAGATATGTATGAGTGTCTGGCTTAGATAGGTATGAGATGACGAAAAAAATAAAAAGATATTACTTGAAATCATGAATAAAAAACACCAAAATAGTTTTATCAAATTTTATAAGTGACTATCTCAAGACATTATCAAATTGTTTTTCAAAACACTACAAGTCATTGTAGAAATTTATAATATAATGAATTAAGTGTATATTTCACATTGTTTTAGATATACTTGTCGAGCTACATTGTTGTATCTTATGAGTTTGCACTATTAGTATGAGATAAAGTTAAATAAATAGTATTACAAGAAAGTAAAGTAGTATGGTCCTATTTTGATGGATGAATAAAATATGCAAATAAGAAGAAGAAAATTGTTCATCTTCTTGTTGTACAAAAAAATGTTATGCCATTCATCCTCTATATATTGAAAGATAAAATAACAATTGCAGAATTAAAGATGAAAATAGAATATTTTAGTACTTAATTGTGTGCATAAATCTCTATGTACTTGTTCTTAAGGTGATTATTTCTCCTATTATAATGTCGTAGGGATTTTGATAATTAACGTCTAGGATTTAATTTTCGCATCCAAAAAATCACATTCGAGTACTCTTGAAATTTCTTGAAGAGAATTTCTCTTAAAATTATAGAGTTTTAAAAAGAAAAGAATTTTAAGAGGAGGATTGCAGAAGAAAGAATAAAAAAAAATTATCTTATGCATATTCCTCTATTTATATTTTACCGTAACAATTTCATAACAATCATGATCTGTTGGATCGGAACTTTTTATAACAATCATGATTGTTAGATTGGAAGCTGTTTCATATTCTCTTCACCACACTTATTATTTATCACGATTTCTAATAATTCTCCACTTAAATAATAATGTTAAGTCCTTATAATATCACACATAAAGGAAGATGTCTCTCGACTTGAATCTTCTTTTAGTGTAGAAATTTCAAAGTCTTAATGGAATAAATATTGCCTTAAAGGAATGAATTATCATCTCTTATATTAAAATTGAAAATGCCACATATATGATCTAATCCAAGATTTTCATAAACATTTTCAAAAGTTAATCCTTGAACTTTTGTCAAGAGCGATACCACTCCTTATGTTTATATAGGTAAGGTTCCTATTAAGCTCTAAATATATTGGTCATATTTTATAGCCGAAGTTTCATTTAAAGTTTATAACTCATCTTCTAAAATTTATTAGTACTAGATAACTTAGAATAGAGAAATGCATAGAATATCCTAGTAATTCTACAATTACTTATCGGTAACTTATTTTTACCCATTGAACTTTTAACTAGTGATAATAGTAGAGAAAAGTTGGGTTTCTATTACTCGGTGACTCTAGAAGAAGGGTCTCAAAATCATTCTAATTACAATTTTCCTTACTAAATCCTTAGTAAGTCTTTTGGTAAACGAATCGCTAAGTTATTACTTATTCAAATTATGTAATTCCTTCAAGAATTAACTATTTGACCTATTAATGTCTCAAGCTTATATGTCTAGATTTTTCATTATATACTTTACTAAAAGTCCTAAACATAATAGCTTCACCATCTCAATGTAACGAAATGGCTAGCATCGATTGTGGTCATAGCTCATTTGTAGCAATAAATTCCTTAGCTATTCTGTCTCTTTTTTCGTGGTTGCTAGTACAACAAACTCATATTCTATAGTGGAATGAATTATACATATTTGTTTCTAAGAAGCCCATGAAATAACTTTCACCAAAGGCAAATACCCAACCGGACATAAACTTGTTATCACTAGCACTTGTTAGCCAATTAACATCAATATATCCCTCTAATACTCGATGGATAACCCTCATAAGATAGTCCAAATCTTAAAGTTCTTTTGAGATATCCAAAGACTCGGAAATTGTTTTCTAATGATTAACAATAGGATTACTAATGTACTTTAAAAACTTGTAAATTGCAAAAGAAATGTCCGGCCTAGTGTAATATATAGCATACATTAAGCTACTAATTATACTAGCATTCAATTTATGCAATTGCATTTTTAGAATTTTTCACTAACTCTGTGTGAACCTTCATATGGGATGTTTACCTCTTTAATTCCTAAATGTTGATATTTATGATTTTCTCAATGTAATGTGATTGATACAAAGCATAACTCCCATTATTTTTTTTTATTTTGATTTCCAAGATAGTATTTATTGTTAGTATAGGTGTCCAAGATCCAACTTTATTTAGATGAATTGACTTATTGTAATATTGTATTCTTTATTTTATTAATAAAAAAGTCTTTCTATTAATTCTTGTCATTTATATTTTGAAAAAATTAAATAGAAGTACATGTGATATGCATTGCATTAATGATTGATCAAAAGTTGTGAGATAAACATTAATATACTTAAATGATATAATTAAATATCTCAAGTCGTAGCATTGTTAAAAATGGACATTGAATATATGTGATAAGACTTGTGAGTGTTATGCTTATGCTAGAAGATAGCAGTAGGAGATCTAACATTTATTGACATGGTAGTGCCAAAGTAAGCATTTATGTGCTTAATGTTAGAGAACATATTACTAGACATGATTCGCCATAAGAATATATTTGGTTTAGTCTATGAAAATTTCATACGAGATGGGTATAACTAGTCATTTGATTTGAAGTCATACGGTTATCTCATTAGATGATATATGTACGTTAACATTCATTTCGATGGACTCGATCAAGAGCTACACTTGGGTGATTCGTTAGGTGCACTAAGAATCTAATGGAGATATGTGGATAACTAAGATAGGACATGTTATTCCTTATATGTTAAATGAGTTATCATATTGCACTTCGATAAATATCTACTCATGAAATCTGTAGCCACGGTAGGAGTATACCAATATAGCAATTAGTTTATTCTAGAGTTAAGACATTTGAGAATTAAAGAAAACTTATGTAATCATAATCAAATAGACTATTAACCAAGTTCGAGATCACATTGTGATAAATTGACATAAGAATTGAATTATATGATAACCATGCTCATTAAAGGTAATTACGGATTAATTAATCATCCTA